GGGTGATACGGTCAAAATTTGGTCAAGGGAAAACGCGTGTAAATCGGTGAAATCGTTTATTTAAAATATCAAATTAAATTTCTTTTTCAAGTTCAATTAGTATAAAATTCAGGAAAAATATTCAGTTAGGCTTCCGCTTTTCCAAATCCGAATTGCCGGGCCTTACGCTTGACCCCTGCCATCAGATTTTGTACAGCCACCTTGTCCACCTTCTTCGCCGCAGAAAGCCAGTTTGCCTTGAACTGCTGCTCGCCCTTAGCAGTTTTTTTGGTCTTCTTTAGGTTCCGCTTGACAATAGCCCAGTATTTCTCAATTGGGCGGAGCTCTGGCGTGTTGGGAGGGTTCTTGTCCTTGGGAACCACCTGCACGTTGTTGGCGGCGTACCACTCCATGGCCTTTTTACCGTAATGGCAAGATGCCAAATCCGGCCAAAACAGTACGGAACAACCGTGTTTCTTCAGGAAAGGAAGCAGACGTTTATTCAAACACTCTTTCACGTAAATTTCTTGGTTGACAGTCCCGGAAGCTATGAAAATGCTGCTTTTCAAGCCACAGGTACAGATGGCTTGCCAAACCAGATATTTCTTTGCGAACTTTGACAGTTTCATGTGCTTGAAAACATCTGCTACCTTTCCCCTTCCTTTTGCCGTATAAAACTCCTGTCCCGGAAGCTGCTTGTAGTCGGCTTTGACGTAGGTTTCGTCGTCCATTACCACGCAGTCAAACTTCGTCAGCATCGTCGTGTACAGCCTCCGGGATCGCGCTTTGGCCGTCGTATTTTGTTTATCATCGCGATTTGGAGTCACTACCTTCTTGTAAGTCGATAGTCCGGCTCGTTTTTTGGCTCGATGCACGGTTGTAGACGATACACCCAGCTTATTTGCGGCATCTCGGAGAGAGAGGTTAGGGTTTCGCTTGAAACTACCGGCAACTCTCTTTGTCGTCTCAGCGGCTTCCGGTTTTCGATTTCCCCCCGATCCAGACTTCCTGGCTGTCGACAAACGTTCACCAAACACTTTAATTACATTTGTAACGGTTGATTTGGCAACTTTTAGCGATTTTGCCAACTTTGCGTGCGAGTAGCTCGGATTTTCGCGATGCGCGAGCAAAATTTTGATACGCTGCTCTTCTTGCTTGGACGGCATTTTGACAACTGAAGAGTGAATTCCAAAATCAAAATAGGAGCAACATTCTACACACACACACCTTCAAAATGAGGGGTGTTCAGGTTTTTTAAATGCAAAATTGAAAGAAATACGTCAAGTTGATATTGACCAAATTTTGACCGTATCACCCTTTAACCAACTATATATTCAGCCTGATGTTAATCAGCTTTGTACACCTTAAATCAACCAATAGTCAGCTTCTGTTCTTTATGTTCAGCTTGAATTGTTACTTGGGAAGACTGGTCACAATCACCGATTTAATGATTCGTGGGCGCACTAATTTAAGATTCATACATTGTTGCATAGAAGTCGAAACGTTAACTCAAATTGACTTCCGTTTACAGTATGCGATGAGTGGTATCGTCCACCCACCGCTGTTTCTAGGCTAATTTTGTATGTGTGATTAGTGTCACGAACGATGAGATCAACTCTAAATTAAGTCGGATTTCACTTAAAATCATTACTCACTGAGGTAGTAAAATTGTCCACCATTTTCCATGATATTCCTCAAAAATTTGCTCGATTTTCCTCCTTTTCGAACAAATTTTTACGAAAAAAAAAAAAAAAAAAACATCAAGGATAATTTTACTGACTCAGACAGTAATTCAGTTTTTTACGATTTTGAAGGAGATCCAAATCAGTTTTAAGTTGATCGTCGTGCAAGGACGTGCAATGGTCTATTCCCGTACTTGCTTTTTTCCTCTTGTAGTAGGTTACTGCAGTTTTCTGTAAGTTGCTGTAAGAAAATAATAGTGGAAATTATCTTACTGAGTTAGTCACTTTTACTCAGAAAGGGTAATATGCGTGCCATAGGGTAATATGACCATCAGTGTTTATTTATTTGGTTTTCATAACCAATTCAAAGGGTTTTCACCAAGAATTACTAATAATTAGATGAGCTGCTGGAAAGGTGTGCATGTGAATTGGGCTTTGAAAAGTATATATTTTAATTTAAAATTGGGATTACTCAGTCTTTGAGTAACCCCACTTTTGACGATAACTGAGTAAATAATTGTCGTGAGATAAAAAATGAGTGCTGAAACGAAACTAACTCAGAGAGTGAGTCACTTTTACCCATTCGTCTGGAGGAATTTCTAAAAGCGTAGGTCTCTCAGAGCATGAGTAAACACTTATGGTCTTAGAAATTTATTCAGACGAATTACCAACAATACTCCTAGAACTACTAGGTTCTCTTAATCGACTTTCTCTTTCGTCAATATGAGCACATAACCGTTTCTTGTTGTGTTTGTCGTATTAGATGCTAGTTAAAAGCTTCTTTTATCGATCTGTGTGCTGTTAATACCTGGGAATGTCTTTACATGGCCGTGGAACACAAAGAGAGTGTCGACGAAGAGAATGCAATATTCAGCTTGATTTCTCGCGTCACTTTTCAATAGGTCCTATCTACATTTATCGATTCTCTTCATCGAACGAGGGGCACGCAATACAAAGAACCGGTGCATTGAAATAAATGCAATAAAAAGTACTTAAAGTAATTAATACGTTTTGAAGTAGTACCAATCAAAATTAACTAATCGTACTTAATGTAATTAAATGTATTGTATATGTAATTAATGTACTTTAATAACGAAAAATCGACTGTAATTAATGGACTTAAAAAGTAGGTAATGTTCTGAACTGTGAAATTAATGTAATTAAAGTAGTAGTTAATGGAATTAATTTAATTACCACCGTTGCCTGCGACGGAGTTAAAGGTTATTGCGTGCCCGACTTTCTGTTAGGATCGCCACGGCCGTGTTAAGATATTTCCGAACATTTTCGAAACGCAGATTGATGGAAGAATCAGCCATCTAGCATCTAATACGACTAAGATGACAGAAAGACCGACAGGAGTAAGATTCGTTAGCAGTGAGATAGAAATACAATATTACTCAGCCGCAGAGACGAATGCCCTATAAGGGTAAAGTCTCTATAAACAATAATAAAAAAAATAAAAAAATACTTAGCCATTTAGTTAGATTCAACGGTCGTGTAGACACGCCCGCAGAATTCAACTCAAATTTGAGTTCCATTCGCGTAAATTCGCTAAAACGCAGGACTGAGTAAATTATTTCTCGAATTTCAACAAAAAGGTGTTCGAACATTAGAAAAATCGAGAAATATTTTACTTAGTTCACACGGCACGGCAAATTTGAGTTTAGTTCACCCAAATTCGTATAAACGTAGGTTAGTCATAAACTGAGCAAAATTTACCTCGATTTTGCAGGATAAATTCGCTTATGATGAAAATTCGATAGAGGTTTCACTCTGTCTATGTTCTAGTCCTAGAATGAGAAATTTTTTGTTGATTTTCCTCATATTCGAGCAGATGTTTGAGGAAAAGCGTGGAAAATTTGACTATCTATGAGTGACCTACATTTTTTGCGACTTTGAGTGAAAAACCTCTCGATTATGAGTTGATCTCATCGGCCGTTTGTCTTTTTCTTCATTTATTGTAAACGAGGCTGAACCTGCTAGTTTGTGTCATGGCTAGGCATGCATGAATCTTGGTATCGGAACCGCCTTCAGATATGCAATTCGCAACACTGCACGGTCAATCACGGTCATTGGTAACAACTCATAAGGGAATGAATATCAAGAATTTCCACTTGAGCTACTCAATGCGGGTAGGGTAAGTGCACCAGCATTGCCAATACGTTCCTATTTTGGCCTTATACCAGAAAAACGATTGAATCACAATCTTTGCGCGTTTTGTGGGCGATATGTATGTGTACCCCGATGAATATGATTTGAATCAACAATGACACATGACAATATGACCAAAATAGGAGTATGGCCAATATAGGACCGTTTCCTCTAAATTCTGTGCATTTTTTGTACTGTTATTCAAAATTAGCAATGTACAGTATGCATGAAAAGTATATCCACTTTCACTGCAAATTCGCTTTTTAGTCAAATATTTTTTTAGTTTTTATGTATAAAGCTTTTATTTTTTTTCATTGAATTGTTTTCCGTCGATCTTGTTTTCCGTTTTCCACCAATGCTACCGACGCCAGGGAGGCAGCTCCCACACCTGGACCCTACCTATCGACCCATCAACTCATGAACCGGGGACCAACGGCTTTACTTCCCTTCCGAAGGAAGGCGTGATCAGAGATGTTATGCCTCAGAACATCCCGGCATCGCCGACTGGGATTGAACCCAGGCCTGCTGGGGTGAGAGGCAATCACGCTTACCACTACACCACCGGCGCCGCTGTATAAAGCTTTTAGTGCTGAATGAAAATAAGGTGCTCAGGGCTGATGGTATCACATAAGAATGGAAAAAAGCCATATATTTTTTTTCCTTTTTAACCGTCCTAATGCATTAGGAAAAAGTTACACATTGGGTCAAAAAAGACCCAAATTGCAACTCACTCCCTAAAATCCATTTTTGAACCGATTCTTGATCTAGTGACCTCAAAAGAAAGCTGAAGGATCCTTAACGAGACTTTCAGCCTTAGGCTGGTTCTTCACCTTGCCATGCAATTTTTTGCTGTAAATGTGGTCTACTTTCACTTCCTATCGGGTGTAACACGAATTACCAGTCACCCTGTATATAATAAAAGGCCGCACACAACTTGTGCAGATTCCCTTTAATGCTCATTCGTGATATCATTTTTTCTTCATTTTATAGTGTAAGGAAAAATAATATTTGACCAAAGGTTGGAATGGAATGTTGGGTGTAGTTTCGAGTTTGTCAACCAGTTTTTAAGTAGTTTCGGAAGAGAAATAAGCCATTAATTTCATTGGCATTAATAGTATGCCGCGAGGTTGACAACATCACGTTGACTGCAGTTCGGATCCTCGGTTTGATTCCAGAATAAAAAATTGATTTAAATTTTTATATCATTTTTATTGTTATTAACATATTGTTCTTCTATACTCCAGTACAATAACACATCGCTTCTCATAATCGCACGACAAAAACATTCATCTATAAAACACTAGCATCGAAAAATAATCATCCACATATCTTATGCCGGTGACTAACCTTTACAGAGTAATTATTGTAAGAAACACTTTTTCCGTCGATTATTTGCTTTAATCTACTTTATACGGCCTCGTTTATTTACAGAAGACATTAACGTTTCCCGCTAAAATCGAACGTTGTCCATCATCGCTACTATGCGCGTTGCAGTAAAGTAAGAAATCTAAAACAAAATAGTATAGCTACGTAAAAAACTATTCAAGTATCATTTATTTAGAAAATAAAAATCTGTACAATACGTAAGGCTTTGCTTTGTTAATTACTTTCATGGAAGTTTCCTACTTTGAGAAACTAAACCAGAAGCATTCTTTTAGTAGTAATAGTGTGATCCCTTAAGAAAAATAAGGGCGTACCTAAATTTGCTATTGTTGATTTGCGTGTTGAAAAAGCATGTAAAGAATTCTACCGGAAAATGTAAAACTGTAAGGCCTCCATCCTGTTTATTTTTCGTTTTTTGTTATGTAAAAATAAGGCATGCTATTAATCTCTGTGGGCACTTCGACTTCTATACTTCAGAAGGCAACATGATGCTAAAAGTCACTGAGCTAAAGTTTTTTTTGTTAACGTTTTATCGCGTTTCAATCGTACATTTTGGTGAAATCTTTATACTTTACAACTATATGGCATTTTCACTTCACAAAAAGTTAAAGCTAGTAACAATAGAAGAGTAAGAAAGGGATAGGCAGGTTTTTTCTTGTTGTTGACCGAATGCTCGATGTTCGATTCTAGGTAAAAAAAGAGATTTCTATTTACAGGTGTCGAAGCTTCTCAAAATCGAGAAGTAAGTTTTAGTTTTCTACAGAAATTCGCTATTTTAAACTTTTTTCGATTTTTTTTCCTTTCTTGAAATGATTTAAATCCACATTATGGCAACTCGATTTTTTCGCTCCCACTAATATTCCAACAATTTTTCACGACAAGGATGCTTGCTTACAAACTAGTGCTACTACACGTTGTAAAACTTAAGGCTACAGTCTATATTCAAAGAAGACATATTCGGAAAGTAAAACAATATTGTAGAATAAATAAAAACGTACTATTCTCATCTACATCCGGTTCGCGATTCACGACTCACACACACGCTCATTCGCTCGCTCGCTCCATACCCATACCCATACCCAAGCTTTACACTATCTTAATCGAACAGTCTGTCTCCAGCTTGACGAGGGTCTTTTTCACCCGCAGGGCCGTCAACCGGACGGCCGGATTCGGATGCCAGCATTCCTGCATCATCTTGGATAATACTACGAGTATTTCCTCGTCTTGCCATCGCAGTGGAATCGGTGGCCGTACGCCCTTGACGCACACCACGGCGTACATGTCTTCAAAGCTGGGATCCGACGGGACCACGTCTTGGTAGGGCAAGGCATAGTCCTCGCAGGTCGTGTTCTTCGTACCACGAATAGTACTGATGCAACGGCGAGCCATTTCCCAGAAGACCAAACCCAAAGAGTACATGTCGGCTTGTTTGAAACTCTCGAAGACCGTTGTATCCAGTGTTTCGTTCAGTGCTTCCGGTGCCATGTAGCGACGCGTTCCGACGCGGGTGTTCTTAGCAATTTCAATCTCGTCCGACTCGCTGGAATACTTCACCGCAAGACCGAAGTCAGCTATCGCGCATTGACCGTTGCGTTTGACGAGGATGTTCTTGCTCTTTATATCCCGATGAGCGATCGCAGGTTTTCCCGGTGTGCCAAAGATTTCCGTATGCAGGTGAGCCAGCCCGGAAGCGAGCGAAAGTGCAAGTGTTTTCAGCATGTGTGGATTTAGTACTCGCTTCTGCAGATAGTCGTACAAGCTTCCCAGCTCATGATAATCTGTAATGAGCAACATCTGTGTCCACGTTCCGGTTCCCTTGATATCGGCCGCGATAAATCCAAGGATATTCTCATGCCTCATCAGCACCGTCTGATAGATCTCCGTCTCCCGGAACCAGGAAGCTTCTTCAGTCGTATGGAAAATCTTCACGGCAACACGCTCGTCACGCCACTTGGCTAGCCAAACCTCACCGTAGCGTCCCTTGCCAACGGAGTGAACCATCTGGATTTGCTTGGCAATTGTTCGCTGTACCAGCAGAGGCAGTCCCGATCCGGATCCACTGCTCTGCTCCACCAAATCGGCCAACGGTGACAGGTTGGGATTGCAAACCGAATCAATAAGGCAGTGGGGTTTCCTCTTTTCGCGCTTTTTAAACATGACGTAAGCGGCGATCGTTACCACGACGAACGCCACCAGACAGATGATGACGGATGCAATCAGGGCCACGGTGTGGACACTGGGATCGTTGACGTTCGCCATCGGTGGCGGGGTGGTGGTCTTCGGAACGTACTCCGGCAGCAGGTCTTTGTTGCAGTAATCTTCACTGTCGCAGCAGACGATCGATTTGCCGTGGATCTGCGGGGACTGGACGCCGACTTTGCACTAAAAAGAAAAAAGGAAAAGACGATGGGCGGGTTAAAATGGTTTATTTCAGGACCACGGGGGTGATGATTTTAGAACAATTTACAACGTTTTGGTCGAGTCAGTAAGGATCTTAAATTATTTTGAGGGTTTTCGAATGGGTCATTAAACCGAAATTTGAAATGTAATACATATCTTCATCATACACGACATCTTTGATGATTGCATGCTTGCAACTCTTCGCATACTTGATGGACGTAATTTTCTTAAAAATTACTATTAAAGTAATTCCTAGCGTTCTTTTTCGCATTACAATTCACGAATTCACAAGTCAAAATATTCAGGTTTTTGTGAATATGAACGTAGCTGAAAATACTATTTGGTGTTTCCTGCGGAGATGCAAGCAATGTCTGAAATCCACAGATCTCTTAGAAACTTATTGATGATATGGCTACAGTCTTGACGCCAAGTCTAAAATGATCACCTGCAGCGCAAGAGGTTCTCTTAAGGGACTTTAGAGAAGAATTTCAAGAAAATTCTCAAAGATAAAATAAGATGTTTTCGATCCATCAAACAAGCTAAATTTAAATAAACGACCCGTGGATCGTGACCCAATAAATAATAGACGCTGTCTTATCCTGATTCGAACTCACCTGCAACAGGCCGCCATTCTGCTCCGGTGGCATACAGCCGTGGCTCCACTCCGGGACGGTCAGGCCGGTTTCCTCGTCCGTGACTTCTTCGACGGTGGCAAAGCACGACCCACCGGGCCGGGTCTCGCAAGTTCCATTCTGTAGGTTTCCGGGGCAATGTCCTTCGCAGTAGCACTGAAGTATGCGCGCTAGAAAAGAGAAATGGTAAAAAAAAAACAATAAATATTTGCACGGGAAAATTTATTATCACCGCAACAGACGAAACAAGTTTGCGACAATCTAGTGCTTTGTTCATTGAGGTTGAAAAGTGTGATAAATTTATTCACTTTTTTTTGTCAGCAGGGGATCGTATTTCTTTTTTCGGCCACAAACGATTTGCAGTGTAAACAAGGTTATCAATCTTAGCTGGGACACACACCAAGATGACGCACGGTGGATGCATGCAAGCAAGCGTTACGTTTGAATCGAGAGAGTAGCTTACTGAGTTGTGTGAGAATCGGAGATTGTGTTGCTCCCCGCGAGTCACGAGAGAACTGGTTGGGAGAATGAGAGCGCGCATTCGCTCTGTGGTCGGTGTGGTGTTTTGTTTGTTGTATTCTGTTTTGACAGCTGAATCGAACGGATCGAGCGAACGACAACGAGCATCGAAATGGATGCCTGCCGCGATTGTCGAGAGAAAATATGCGCAAACTGTTGCTTAATCATTAGGTAGCTACGGTAGATACAGGCAAGTTTCTTCTAGTTTCTTTTGGGGGTGTGTTCAATCTCATCCGGGAAAATTCTATCTAGAAAACAATTGGTTCTCCATTGACGGACCGCGGGCGCTTGGTTGTTCATCGAGTGAAAATCACTATGCGACTCCATGACATTGGAACGACGAAATCTGGTTGGCGTACGATGGTGAGGTGGGATCTACGACAAAAGGATATTCGTTAAGTCGACGTTCTAAGGCCAGGATTTTGTTAAATGTGCGTATGAGTAGTCACATTTTCTGCGACTGGCATTATCACACAGCTGAATGCCGAATTTGAGTGTGTGTGACCACTGTGAGTTCATCATCACCATCACAGTTGACTCCGAAGAATAATTGTGTTTCTGTCTTTGATTTCGATGTTGACAATATTAATTACAATTTTTTTATTATGGTACCACTCTACTCAAGCAAACAAACATCTAGGCTAGGCATGAAGTAAAAGTTGATTTTCACCATAAACACATGACAAAGTTGTGCTCCTTTGGTTGCCTGATGGATCCAGTTGTGGTTAGAAGGTATATTGTAATTCAAGGTTTTCTAACAATAGCATTAGCATAGTAACTGAAAAACGCTCAGATAAGTTACATTTCCGTCCTAATTAATTGGGAACTCTTTGAAAGCTCGCCGTATTTAGCGCAGATTAGATCGAAAATAAGCAGAAGTTGTACTGCGAAAGACTTTGATTGAGTTGTTCAATTTTAGTAGTGCAATCTGCTCAACCAGTGTAATGAAGTCTTTCAAGTAAAGATTTGTTTTTGCTGTAGGGGTAAGAGGGGCATAGAGAACAGGTGGGGCATAGTGAGCATCCCGTGCACCAGCTTGGACTTCCGGCCGTTCGGAACAAATTGGTTGGTGGTAGGATCAATATCATAATGATATTGAACCTACTACCAGTTGATTTGTTTCATGCAGCTAGAGATCCAGGGCTAAACTGCGGGATGCTCACTATGTCCCACCTGTTCACTATGCCCCTCCTACCCCTATGTATTAATCAACACCTCTTGGAAGATGTAAAATGCTGGATTCCAAACCTCGTGACGCGGAATGTGCGGATTCAAAATAGGGTTTTTTTTGTAATAACCCCGAAATTACCAAATTTCCATTCCACATCTGGAACGGAACTGAAGGTCCGTTTCTGTTCTGTGACAACAGGAAATTTTTAGGTAGCCGATCAATTTTTAAAACGGTTCCATTAGTCGATTTATCGAGCTATAGAACATTGACTCATGCAAAGTTTACTGAGTTAACAGCAATAGAGCATTTTGACGTTCAATCCAGACATATTACTGCACCATCTAAATCAAATAAGTGCAAGCAAGGGGGGAACTAATTAGTGGGAAAAGAATGAATCCATTCAGATCATTAAACGTCAAAAAGCTCTATAGCAATGCCATGTACAGGCAATAATAAAGTATACACTGTGATTTATTTGTCTTAAAAAAAAAGTTCTGTTTCTTTTCAGCATGTGCATCAACATTTCTGAAGGGGTTTCAATATATTTTCAACCGATTAAATAAAAAAAAAAAACAAAACAAGTTCATTGAACTTCAGTAAGACGCGTTTTTCTAAAACTTCTCAAACTTCATGCAAACTCAACCAATCAAGCGGAAAACTATGTCGATAAATATTGAATATTTGATCCACCAGTAGCAAAAATTTCAGCAACTTGATGCAAATTACTGATAAGTTACATCTCTTTGAACATTTTTGGAAACACAAAAAAAAAATCCCTGTGCAAACTTTATTATTGCCAGTACTGTCTATCTAACCGGTTGATCTTTGATCCGCGGCTGTCAGCTCGCGCCAAAACCCAAAAACAAAACTTGTCAAACTTCTTTTCAAGTCGCGTTTTTCTGCTTCTCAAGCCGAAACCACGCGCGCCTACAGCAATACCGTAAAACGGGGTGGAGTTGATCACTACACCGATCAATTTTCGATTCTCAAGAATCCTTATTTAGGAAATAATTTGTTACGAAATAATTTATTTAGTATATCATTAGGTTGTATTAAATAGTACTTTTGCAAAGTTTTCGAAACGATGCGCTAAATGATGTAATATACAACTTTTAGCTGTTCCTAAAAATCCGATCATAATCTGCATTTATTCTGTGTTCGTCGAAATAACTTACTTTACTTCATTTTGGATCGCTGATCCGAAATCAGCTTTCGTTCAAATGAAAAATTTATAGCGAAACCGAACCTTTTGTCAGTGCGAACCTCAACCTGAACTAGGTTTTAAAAACAAACGAGCAAACTGACATTTGTCAGAAAACAAGCAGACTCAATCTTGATACCCGATCCAGGTTGGAACTGAATAGAATAATAAACTAATTCGCTATTAGTATCATAAAAATGATTTCATGTGAAAAACTGATATAAATTGCCTACATCTAGGCGTATGTTTAACTATTTTGCGATGAAATATGAATTTTATCGCAAACCACCACTTTTGTAGAAATGTTAACACCAGATTCTTCTTCAGTGAACCCAAATCACGTATAAATCCTGCATATTCTGCATATTCATATTGCATAAAAACCTGCATGATTAACTTCACCCCAGAATTGAAAAATTTGCATTTTGAATCTAATATTAATTCTAAAAAATAAACTAAACTTGCAACATAAAAAACAAAATTCATACTTTAGAAAAGCATTGGCTAGTATAGGTTAGAAAGGTATTATTGCGCATTTCAAAGTAAACTGGACTAACAAGCGTGTTTTCACTTATTAAAATGTGTGAGTTTACATCTAAGCGTTTTGGTGTCTTCGGTGCACCAAGCAATAAGTGCTCCGAAGACACCAAAACGATTTAACGAAAACGTGCACTTTCCATTTTGGGGCAGTCCAGTTTCAGCTGTAATCAGCAATAGTTTGGTTGGAAGCATATCTAGGTTTATCGGTAAAACGTAATCAGCTTCCCTCCGTTTTACGGTACCTACTCTGTGAAAGGAGTCCATAGAACAGCCGAGGAAGCAATTTGTCAACGCAGATCTTCGACATGCCCGCTTGTGTTTCTGTCACCACAATCGCTATGTGCTTCTCGTTTGTACGCAGTTTCGTTGTTCTCCCACACGGTTTTATTCATCCGGAGTCTTTTATGTCAAATCTCTATGTTGGCTATAGATGAAGCAAGGCCCACTCATCTCAACCGAACGCCAACGGAGATGCAAAGTCCGCAAAAGTACCACAGTATTAATAGACTCAACTGGACCCTGATGGACATACCGCGCGCGGATAGGAGAAGAACGAGGCAACTCGTTCTTCGTCATCTCCTACTCATACGGGTTGACAGTTACGTGCAGCAGCTCGGCTTTGAACTGACTGAACGATGTAACGCGCGCGCGAGGCAATAACATTGGCAAAATAAACAACAGTCCGAGAGTTCGTCGTCGTCGTCGTCGTCGTCGTAGCCGTTGTTGTTTTGAAGACCCACCGACCGCTCAAAGTATAACATTTTAAGTGCAGCAAAGTGCGGCCTGTTGTCTCGGGGATATAAGCAAATGTAAACAACGGCCAAAGAACGGAATGTGGCGTGGGTGCCATTTTGTCAGTCGATTCAGCCAACGTTGATGCGATTTGACAACGTGAAGTCATGGTGGCTAATAAGTGGTCCTCGCGAGCGCTTGCAAGTGACGCAGATCAACTGTGACATTGTTGCGTTCTGTCAAGCAGAGCAGATTCCTAGGAAATGCAGCACCTATGTTTGTACTAATTTCCCTCCTCTTCATGTTCCAGCAGCATGTGTGAGCAACCTTATCTGACCGTATAACGTTGGTCTGCTATTTATTTCCATTCAGTTCGTTGTTTAATCAACGGCCCTGGGGTTCGTACTGAGCGTCGTTGAGAGAGGAAGCACACAGTCTCTCGTTGAAACACGCGCACGGGGAGGGGGTAAAAGTATAAATATTATTATTTGTTTACATAGGTTTTTACTAGCATTTCCTCACATCATGCAGAATGGGAAGTCTGTACGGAATGAAAGGTATGTTTATATTTGGTAGACCGATTGAATTCGAACCGTTGTCGTTGATAAGCCGATGATGGCTGGGCTGCGTAGAGTTTTAAGCAGTTGTTTCGCACAGCAGGTTGGACAACTGTGGTTTTCCCTGTTTTTGAAATTGCAAATCCATCCAGAGCACTGCCGAAGCTTATCGTGTTGCCTAACATTTAAAGTTCCTCCACACCCAGGTGACGGTAATCGTTTCCACGAATAGCTGTTTGTTGATGATCACACAGTTCTTCGAGTGCAGTGATAACATTGCCCGTTATCGTCAGCAGACCGAACACTCCCTCTCAAGGTGTTGTGATGTGATAACAAACTGACGCACTGTGTCAATTGGACTGCGCGGAGTGTGTGATTGATAACATTGAGGTTACTAAAACAGTTTGACTTTCTTCTTTGGTGGATCTTAAAGCTAATTAGCAGAAAATT